GGGGAGGGAAGGCAGGCAAGCAGGGCAGAGGGGACAGCAGAAGCACAGACACCAGGCAGGAGCAGAGTATAACCGGGTGAGGATGAAGAACCCAGTATCACTGTGACACAGGGTGTGAATGAAGCCTGAGGAAGAAGTGGCTGGAGATAGGTCAGAGCTGGATTGCAGAGGGTCCTGGATGCCGAACTCAGGGCTTCAGATTCTGCAGACCCTTGCCTTTGGGCATTGGGGACATACTGAAGGTTTAAAGAGAGGGCGTGACATGGTAGAACTAGAAAGATCTTGGGCGACTGAGTGAATCAGAGGTGCCAGAAAATATGCAAATGGACTTGGAGAGACCAGTCCTGGGCGCTGGCTGTAGGACAAAGGGCTGCTGTGATGATTACAAACTCACCTGGCCAGCTGGGCCTCCATTCTTCACCTGTGGGTAACTTTTATGATGGTTAATCCCACAAACATCCTGTGTGTATTTAGGGCTGGTGCTGCCAGGTGGCAACCTGTCTTCCCTTCACTTTGGGTAACTTTAGTTTCCTTTCCTCATTAAAGTATGACAAAGTGTAGTAAGCACCCCACCCCACCTGCTATGACGTCTTAAAGTACACTTCTGCGTCAGTGTTTAGTGCTGGACCTCAGGTGGGACCTCTGTGGCTCAGAGCGGCACGTTTGGCCCCAAAGGGCTGGCAGTGCCAGCACTCTTATGGGATTCTCAAACACTGGAGGGCTAGGGCAGAAGACCTGAGGACAAACAGCAATGCTTGTACTCCATCTCAACTGGTAACCGCGCCCCACCCCAACACTTATTGTGAGGTGTAAGTTCTTCAGGTGATTGGAAGAGCCTAAACCAAAACAGGGTGGTTAACAGCTTAATATGGATGGGGTAGGAACCACAAAAGCCTGTGAAAGGTCACCCCCTGTGGATGGAGCTCGAGACACAACCCTATTGCGAAGAAGCAGGTAGGCTTGACATGGCATCTACATCCCCTGAGATTCCATTACCTGACAGGTCTCTGTATTATGTCTTTATCCGCTACCCTTTGACCCCACAGAAGCCACACGAATGAGAGGGAGAGTCTTGACATTGGTACTGAGTGACTGAGTGGGGACAGAGCAGGAGAGCAGTAAAGAGTTTATTACCATAATACTGAGTAGAGAAAATAGGCCAGAAGAGGGCTGGGGAGAAGAAAATCAGATCATAGCAGTAACTGCTAATGTTTACTAAGGGTTCACCATGTGCCAGGTGCTTCACAGCCCCATGTGGTAGGTACACTCAAACCTTGCTGTCCCACCGATGAGGAAACTGAGGAACTTAGCTGAGCTCAAATGGAAGAACTCAAGCCTAAGGTCACTAGCTGGGAAGAGGCACAGCAAGAACCCAGGAAGTCTAAGCTGGAGCTCACTCCCAGCCCTGGAGAGCCAGCTTCGAGAAGCTCTTCAGAGGAGGGACTGAGTGGCCGTGAGGGGAGAGTTACTGTGCATGCAGTGAGTGGGCACTAGGGATCAGGCCCAGGGTTTGAGCTCCAGCACTACTGGCATTTATATGACTTTCTACTTCCCTTCTCTGAGCCTCAGTTTCTCCACCTGCAAAGTAGAGCAGACATTTTCACACAATCTGGCCTTGGGGGTCCAGGCAAATCCCAGCAAAGACTGAAGGGGAAGTGAGGGGATAGAGGTTCTGTTCTTAATAACCTGTTTGAGAACCCCTGGACTAGATGTCTGAGGCCCCTCCTATTTTAAGCATTCATTCTCTCTAATCTTAAATGGGGCTGGGGATGAATGGTCAAAATGAGAGCAGGGTGTCTGAGACAGGAGACACAAGAGGCTCTAATGATGCCTATCTGCTCAACAGTACATAAAGGTCAAAGGCAGATGCTTTGAACTCACTCTCCTTGTCTAAAACAACTATCAAACAGAGAACCCAAGGAGTTTCTAAGTCAAATGGGGGAATGATGCAAATGTTTCTCCCTTGGCCTCTTTCCTTCAAAGGTTTAGGTTTCCTGTCACCACTCTGTGTTTGTTCTTTATAACTGTGAGACAGATCATCTTTACTGGAAAGGTAGGGCAAAACCCAAGTTTCTCCTTAGTCTTGGTTATCTCAAAATCAGGCTGTATTTTTCCAAGAAACCAGGGTGGAGTTGGAACAGAAAAAAAAAAAGTTATCATGGGGAGAGGGAGATAAAGAGGAAAGACTCTCTTAATGTAGAAAGTTAAGATTCTCTTAAGGAAGGAAAAGATGTAGAGGCAAAAAGACACGGGTGGGGTGGTGGGGAGGGGAGATAATACTGACAAGGCTAGAGGGGGGAAAAGACATATATATGTTTGAAAAACTAGAAAGAAAGCATTTCCAACGCTGAGTTGCAAGTGGGAAAGATAAGAAAGGGAGGGAGAACTGGGGTTCTTGGTATCCTAGCGAAAGTAAAGAGGTGGGGGCTGCCTCCTTCCCCCCAAAGTGTGACCCACAGAACAGTCGTTACTTGAGATGGTTCTTGGAAAACCGTCCTCCAGACAAACAAGCTCAGGCAACACCGTGTGCTGAGACCTGCCTCGCAGTGTTTGGTCCAGCACCCCTCCAAGGCATCCGGCCTCGGCTCTCTGTTTTGGAAAGCACACTTTGAGAAAAGTCCCGACTTAGGCAGTGCCTAGTGTTAGCAGCTCGGCGGTGTCACTGGTCCACGCTGGCTTGCTTAGCTTTTCCGCCAGTGTGGACCGGGGCAGGTAGGAGCAGATAGCTGGTATAGGACATGCGAAAATCTGTTGTTTGAAACCTGAGGATTATCTGTATAAATTAAGTGATAGGAATTTAAGACGGTGGCTAAATTTCTCTGGTCCAATATTTGTTTTGACTTTGTAATTGAACAGGAAAGTCTTACATTCACCAAAACTTTAACATATCTATGCACTGGCACATCCCCTCTAGTCTTCCTTGACCTCAGTCACCTAAATTCAAAAGCTCAGCATCATCACTGACTCTTCTACCCTCTTTATGCAAATATATATTTTAATGCAACTCAGATGTAATCCAGACCACAGCCGTCCATCTGCTGCTCAGGAAGATTTGTCGGAGGCCATCAGATGCCTTGATGAGTAAGATCTAACAGCACTGTGTCTACAGTGTATTACTCATCTACTGGCATGATAACTATCAAAGACAGGAAGGAGATGCAGCTGGCATGATTTGTACTTTTTCCTGCTGGTTCCTGGTGATGGTGGCTTTCTCTTCCAGGCACTCACTGCCATTGCTTTAACAATGGACTCCTGAATCTTACTATAATCAACATGTGCTCACTGGCATCACACAAGAGTTCCTTGGTGACACGGCTTTTCTTAAACACATACTTGTTGGATTGAAGTGGTCTGGCATTTACTAACTCACTCTTACATTCACCAACATTATTCTACGGTGAGTGACCCACAGCTATCTTGCTGACAGATTTTTCTCAGGGCCCTGGTCTGTGCCTCACTTGGCCAAGGGACTCAAACAGTCACCTGCTCTCCCAACCTTGAGCTTCCGCTCCCTCATAGATGGGGCTGTTCTGCTCTTTCCTGACAGACTCAGCTCCAACATCTGGCCCTACAACCTCTGCTGCCTTTACTACCCAACGGTCATCTCAATCTCTAGGAACATGCAAGGCTCCTTTTTCCTTAAAGTCCCTATTCACTGGCCCCAGCTGAGATGTCCATGTATCCTATGAGTACCCCAGAAGAAGCAGTTAAATTGGATAAATTTGAAGCTGCCTAAAAGTCTGACATCTAAATGGGGGTTTTTATTTTCTAAAAGGAAAATACAGCCATGGCTGCTGTGGCTCAGCTGTTTGGAGCATCATCCCATAAACCGAAGGACTGTGGGTTCAGTTCCCATTCAGGGCACGTGCCTGGCTTGTAGGTTCTGTCCTTGGTTGGGGCACACCTGGGGGATGGATACTACTATCTCATGTGGGTATTTCTCTCTCACATCGATGTTTCTCTCCCTCTCTTTCGCCCTACCTTCCCCCATCTCTAAAATCAATGGCCATGCCGTGTCCAGCATGGCTCAGTGGTTTGGGCATCATCTTGAAAAGCAAAAGGTCACTGGTTCAATTCAATTCTCAGTCAGGGCACATGCCTGGGTTGCAGGCCAGATCCCTGGTTGAGGCATGTGAGAGGCACCTGATTGATGCTTCTCTCCCTCTCTTTCTCCCTCCCCTCTCCTCTCTCTGAAAATAAGTAAATAAAACCTTCCAAAAATAATAAAATCAATGGGCATATCTTGGGTGAGGATTAAAAAAATTAAAAAAAAAAAAACACAGGTACCTACAGACATAAAGTAATCAGTGCTTTATTTAGAAAGAACTAGAATTATTATTTTTCTCTCAATTTTGTTGGAAGACTACTTCCAGAAAAAAGAACCAGAAGCCCAAACAAAGTATTCCAGCAATTTCCCTTACCTAGAAGAGTTAATAGCAATAAGCAAGTACATTGTATGGTATTTAGCTTATCTATACTCATTAAGATAAGAATGTACTACTACTGAGTTTTAAAATGTCACACACCCAGGAAATCATTTCTTTTCCTTCTAGCCTCTTTATTCACACTGCTGGGCATATCCTTGGGTGAGGATTTTTTTTAAAAAGTAACAAATACCCACACACAGAGCTACCCAGAGACAGAAAGTAATCGGTGTTTATATGGAAAGAATTAGAATTATTATTTTTCTCTCAATTTTGGTGGAAGGCTACTTCCAAAAAAAAAAAAAACAAAAACCAAGTAAAACATCCTAGCAATTTCCCTTGCCTAAAAGAGTAAACAGTGACAAGCAAGTACACTGTATGTCATTTAGCTTATCTACACTCATTAAGATAAGAAGGTACTATTACTGAGTTTTAAAATGTCACATACCTGGGAAATCACTTCTTTTCCTTCTAGACTCATTACTCTCAAATACTGTACCATATTTACACACACACACACACACGCACACACGCACACACACACACCCATCCTCGCCCCATCTTCCCAGACCTCACCTGATTGATAACATAGACGCCATAGTCCAACTGCTGCCGTTGGAGGATTGGGTGCAAGTAATACAGCCAGTACTTGAGGTGTTCCTGCCGGTTGCGGAATGGAATAATGATGGCCACCTTGTGAGGAGAGACGCAGTCCTTGGGGGCGTAGCGACCACCCACCTTCACCTCGGGGTTCTGTTTTGCCAGAAGCGTCAGGTCCACAGGCGCCTTAAACTCGATCAGCAGGGGCCCAACTAGAGGGGTGGAGGGAAGGAGATGTTAGCAGGCCACAGGACTCGCTCCCTGCTTTGCAGACGTGTCAGATAGCCTGAGTGCAGGAGACAGCCCTTCCTGAGAGGCAGCAGGACCATGGAAAAGGCACTCATGGCCTGCACTAGATACTGTATCTAGCAATAGTGTGACCAACCACTGCAGGAAACGCGTATCAGGCAGACCTGGATGGCTGGTCACCCAGGAAGCACTCACCTATGCAGGACACGTTACCTTCAGAATCTGTGTTTCCCAACTGTATAATGAAAATGGGGCAATTCTCGCTCTGACATCCTGATGGGCTGTTGTTAGGATCAGAGAACACAGAGAAAACACAGCCTCAGAAAACCTGAGGTTGAGACCTAGCTCTGCCACCTCCCAACATGTGGCTTTGGACAGGTTCTTTCTGAACTTAGCCTAATTGAGACAAGGGGTGTGAGTGTGCACATGTACACATGTGTGTGTGCATCGGAGAGTTCAGTGTTGAGAAAATCAGAAAGGCAGCCATGGAGCCATGTCTCATGGGTTGATGCACAGGAGAAACAAACTTGATGGGAAGGGCTGGAGGAAATGAGACCCCAGAAGAGACCAAGGGGGAAGGGGAGAAGAAAACAGCTAGAAAGAACATCAGAGAAGAATGCTTAGGGAAATTAAGGAGTGAAGGAATAACAGAGGAAATAAAGAAGGGAGGAAAAGTCAGGGATGCCTGCAAAGTGTCTGGCCTGGAAGAACATGGCTCCAGAGGAGAATGAGTCCATTGGAGAGCCCTTTGGCTTAGATGAAAAACTGATGAGATGTGGATGGTGGACTTTTAGGTAGTGGCAAGTTAGGAAGAGGGAAAGGCGAAGGTCAGGATCCTGATACAGACCTGGAAGCCCTTGTTTCCTAAACAGAAACAGGTGGAGCTAAGAGAGAGCTGCTGGGGAGGGCCCCTCATGCAGCAGAGATGGTGAGTGCTGTGGGAAGGTGACTGGCCCGGGGACACACAGGGGATTGGGACGGAGTCATTGAGCCCAGGTCCCCAATGTTCCCTGTAGGCCAGATCTTCTCAAAGCGGGTTCCAGGAAACACTAATTCCCAGCAAGATGCTCAGTGGAAAAATATGTCCCTGGCCACATCAGCATAGGAACTCTGCCTGCTAAATCCTGCCTCAGGAAAGTCATATGTCACAGGCTCTGAGAAGCCGTGCAATCCAGAAACCCCTTCACTTTACTTAACCCACCCTCTCCCAAACTTACTGGGGAACAGTAACCTTTGTGCCATCTGATCAGGGGGCACACTTTGACTATTGTTACTCTAGTGTAACCTAACCACCTTTACCTATAAAGCAAACTCGTCATTAGAACAAAAGAAGGAACCTACAGAACAGAGGCGAGAACGTTGACCACAAACTCAGAGCAAGTTCACGTGAAACATGCTCGTGAGAACCAGTGTGCAGCCCTGTCACCTGTTTAGCGATGATATGTGGCTCTCCAAGTGCCCCTGTCCCCAGAGATCACTCACTCTCCTAAAATGAGACAGCCCAAGAAAGCTGGGACTCTTGCTTCTCTGGCGCAACCACAGGTGCAAACTCACCATCTCCTCCTCCCCCCAACCCCTCCCTAGTCCCCTACTGCACTCCACTCACCATCTTGCCCTCCCATGCTGACCCAGTTCCACCATCATGGGACCTGTTCCCACTCATTTTCTTCTGAGATACAGCTCTGATCTACTCTCCCACTAAAACCTCCGATGGCTCTAAGGCCGTGTTACACGGGAAGGCCAAATCTCTTAACTTGGCAACAAGGCCCTTCAGCCTCAGCTCTACCTCCTTCCCACTCTTACAAATCAGGCCTATGACCACATTCTTCCCATTGCCAGAAATGCCCTTCCTCTTTCTTGTAACAGCCAACTCTGCATTGAAAGAGAGACCAGAATTTTAGCAGCAAAGCCCCAATGTGGCCTTGACCTTTTCCCTCCTTCATTACCACAGAGCTCAAGGAGCAGATCCCCTGGGGGCAGGAGGGAAGCCTCAAGGTACCAAAGCTCTGGTGCCTTCCTGGCCATGCACCTCCCTCTCTGGAGGGACAGGGGTCTCACAGATCAGTCCCTCACCTGACTACTGGTTCCGGTCTCGAAGGGTGCCATCAGTGGAGTGGGCTCTCGGTCTAAGTAAGGGCTAACCCTGGAGTGTTTTTGTTTTTTGTTTTTTGTTTTTTTCCCCAAAACTACCATCAGAATCACTTGAGGCAGTGTGTAAAAATATGAAATCTCAGACTTGTACCCTAGAGAGCCGACTCAGCAAATCTTGGGAAGGACCTAAGTGGATAATTAACAAGGAGCCTAGGAGATTCTGCTTGTGCACATTGGGCAACAGACAGATGATCTTCCCATCCTCACAAATCTTGGGGCTTTCAGGCAAGGAGGGCCCTTAGGGTCTCCCACAACTCACACGCCATGGAAGCAGCCCTTCTGCACAGTGCCCCGGACGACGCCTTCCGGGAGGCCCTGCTGCACAGTGCACTCGTGAACAACATGAGAAAAGATCTGTCATTGGTCTCTTCTCACTTCAGAGGGCCCCACAACATCTGCAAACTCCCCAGCCCCACTGCACCTTTGCTGCTCAAGATATTGCTAAACATAACCCCATTTTCAGGAACGCAAGAGGCATCTGGACTGTCACCCTACTGACTTGCTCACATTTTCTGAAACCAGCCCAGAAGACAGGAATTCACACTTGCGCTGCCTAGCTTTCTGAAGCACACACCTGCAGGCTGGTCTTAGTGGTTCCCCTTTCAGGAGTTCCAGAAAGGTGGTTCTGAGGTTTCTGGGACAGAAGAGAGGATGCCTGGGCCCTGGTTCAGCTCCATCAGTGTTTTGCTGGATGATCTATCTTTAGGCAAGCACCATCTGCTTTCAGCATACTGGTTTCCCATTTATAAATGGCAAGGACTGGAATTCAACCTGCTCCAGAAGAACTCTTATCTGCCACCACCCTCACTGGCTCCTCCAGTGGTTCGTGTGGAGCCTTATCATTGAACAGCCTCTTCTCACTCGCCTGCCTGTCTTTGTGCCCCCTCGCAAGCCCTATCATGTCTCCAACGGACTGAGAGCACACTGACGGTTGGATCCTACCCCCCTTGCCCACTCTGGCAATTCCTTCCCCACCTTCTCTCTGTGAAGCCTCCACAGCTCTGAGAATACTGCACATCACACCTCTGAGAGTGGGTAGCACCTAGCAGTCAATGGCAGCTCCAGACCTGGAACAGAATGCCTTCTTGGATCCAGTGCCAGCCAGGTGGCCTCCCCTGAATGCCCTGTAAATCTGCCACGCTGCAGGGGCTGTCCTCTGCTATCTGCCTGGCCCAGTCCCAGTGAGAAAATCCATAGAGCTCAGACTCCAGGAGGGCAGTGACCAGCTCTGCCCAGAACCTTGCAGAGCTACCAGGTCTCAAAGCCACTGCTCGAGGCTTCTGGGAGAGGTGAGGGGAAGAAGCAAAGGATGGAAGGCTTCGTCACAGTCCTCAGGCTAAGCCAAGGCTCCCTTGCTGTGAGGCGCACGGTGTGTGCTACCACAGGCCCTCGGCCCCGCTGGGCTGGCTTGTGTGTTTTCTTGGCTCTGGGAGCTGGGAAGCAGGGTTACGTAAGCAGATGAGCAGATGTGAGCCTGTCCTTCACTCTCCCAGCTAAAGCCCTGCCACGTGGGCCTCTCAGCTGGGAGCCCAGGTCATGGCCTTGCGTGTAAGTCGCTCAATAACTTCAATGTGTGAGCTCAACTCAGACAAATTCCACTGCTCCCTTGCTCAGCACAGCAAACCCAAACACACACACGATCCTCCATCAAAAGCCCTTCCAATCTACAGCCAACCCAGCACAGACTCCCTGCCTCACTTGCTTGATAGCTAGACTAGCTGAATCCTCTAGCCCCAGCAAAACAGGCTGGAACATGCGAGTCACTGCTTCCCAACTGACAGCCAGTGCTCCAGACACAAACCTTGGCCAGGTGCTGGGTAGTGACAATGTTTCACCAGCCTGGACAAAACGGCAACAAGGGAGTGTAGGTGGTTCTTCATTAGCTAAGTGTAACCAATGTATCCGAATGTCCTTTCCTCTAAGATCGAGACTTTACTCTTTAAATATTAAGATGTCCTGTTTTTATGAAATAATTACAATTGATTTTGGTGCTGGATTGGAAGCCATGGGTCAAGCCCCTCAGTTTCTTTTTAAATTTTCCTGAGCAGTGAATTCAAACATTTGGGAAATGATTTTAGGAAAGCTGGGATGCTGGAACGTCTTCCTTGGCCACGCCTCAGTCCTGACAGTACATGGCACAGCCCCTCTTCAAGCTCTCTCCTCCCCAACTACAGTGTTGCTCCACAGGCACTGTGGGTGGGCCACTTCTCTCTGCACCCATCTTCCAAGAGCTAGATATGCACTGGAAGCTGAGCCAGGTACTACCAAATCCCCAGGCTTGGGAATGACAGCAATTTGCAGTGGTCACATGAATTCATGGTACCCCCCTGTGGCCCCTTAGACTAGAAATGAGAAGCACCATCTACTGCACAGGGCTCATCCTAAACCTTCCCTCTGGTCCTTCAGGGAAGAGAAGCTCTCCAGAGTTCTCCAAGGACTTAGTCATCACCAATCCAACAGCTGCCTGGCCTCGGCTCAAACATCACTACCCCTAGGAAGCCTTCTTAGACCACTCAAGACTGGTTCTTACCATGCTATTTTTCTTTATCCCTTTGGGTAGAGCCTTAAAACTAAACAATAAATATTTTAAAATATAACCCAAGGACAAGAAATGTGACTTCCTCCTTCATCCCTTTCCTAATAAGGAAGCGTCTCCCAAAATAAAGATTTCAAAACATATTACTTAGTGGCTAGAAAACAGGAATAATCTATTTCTAATGTTACTTGATATGCGTCAGGCACGCTGCACACCGAACACAGTTTCCACACCTACTGCTCTTTCTGCCATCTAACCATCCAGGCCGCTTATTAG